ACTATATTTGCTCCTGCAGATCAATACCAATGTAGCAGGCAGGTCAAACCACAAGGAAAGGCTGACTCTAATAAAACAAACCTTATATTGACCCCCTAACACTTCATACTGGTATTAAGTATGGTCTTTTTATAGGCTTTAGATATAGTTCACCCTAAAAAAAGAAAAAGATTCTGCATACCAAAATATAAATAGAGTTGCTAACTTTTATGGTTTTATTCATTTATATAACAATAAAATTTAGATAATAAATTTTGGAGGCAGCAACTCTTAGTGTTAGAAACATGGCATTAAACAAAATAGAAAATAATTTCAGTCCTCAGGGAGTTTACTACTCTAATTGGCAGAAACACATTATATAAAATCACAAAATTATATAACACTTTAGAAATTGGAAGTATAGTGAAGAAAAAGTTTAGTGAAAGGGAAATAAGATGTGGAGTAGAGGGTATATGTTGGCATTTTAAACAGGGTAGTTATGGTAGGCTTTACCACGAAGGAAAAATTTGTGCTCATATAAAAAATAAACTCAAAATGGATTAATAACCTAAATATCAGAGCTAAAACTTATGAAACTTTTAGAAGAGAACAAAGTCAGAAATCTTTATGACCTCGAATGTGATAACTGAGTTTTAGATTTAACACCAAAAGTAATGAATAACAAAAGAAAGCAATCAGACTTCCTTAAATTAAAAAAACTTTTGTGCATTAAAGGACATTATTAACAATGTGAAATGACAACCTAAAGAATGGGAGAAAATATTTCCAAATCATCTATCTGTTGGGAATTTACTATTCTGAATTCTTATGACTCAACATCAAAAAGACAACCCAATTTAAAAAAAAAAAAAAAAGACCAAAGGACTTGAATAGACATTTCTCCAAAAAAAGATACACAGATGGCCAATAAGCAAGTGAAAAGATGTTCATCACTGATCATTAAGGAAATGCAAATCAGAGCTATTGGGAGATACTTCTTCATGCCCACCATACTTTAAACAAAATAATACAAAATCCGATATTATTCAGCCATAAAAGGAACAGAGTATTGATACACACTATAATTAGCATGAATTTCAAAAACACTATGCCAAGTGAAAGATGTCAGACATAAAAGGTTACATATTATATTTTTGCAGTTATTGTATAATTTATTTCATATCCAGAATATGCAAATCCATAGAGACAGAAAGCAGATTAGAGGTTACCAGGGGATGGGGTAGGGAGAATTGGGAGTTATTACTTAATATGCATGGGTGTTTTTAATGTATGAAAGAGCTCTGAAATAGAGCAGTGAAGTATTCAAGACGGTGAACACACTAAGTACCACAATACTGTGTACTTTAGAACGGCTAAATACATGTCATGAAAGTTTCACCTCAAATGAAAAAACAAAGACTTTTTTTTAGGATCACATAGTATGTTTTATATTTTACTTTCAGTTACGTATTCATTTCAATCTTTAATCTAGTTGCAACATTTTAGTATTTTTTTAACATAGCTTTATTGATACAATTCACATACAATAGAATCTACCCATTTTGTACGTATATTCTGGTGAGTTTGGGCAAATGTATGTAGTTCAACAACCACAACAGTCAAATTTTAGAAAGCATTCAACACCCCAACAGTTCCTTCAAAAGTTATGGTCAATCCCCAAACCCAGGTTTTTTGTCATTATAATTCTGCCTTTTCTAGACATACAAAACTCTAGGAAAGGTAAAATTATAATGATAGACATTTCACATGAATGGAATTAAACAGTATGTGATCTTATATGCCAGGTTCCTTTCACTTAGTATTTGAGGTTCATTTATGTTGATTTATGCATCAGTACATTATTTGTTCCTTTAAAATTTTCAATAATTTACTGCATTAAGTTTATCCATTTACAAAGTAAAGTCACTAGATTATTTTTATTTTTCAGTTAGTACAAATAATGCTTCTATGAATACTTACTTGTAAGACTTTTGTATAGACAGAAGTTTCCATCTCCTTTTAGTAAATACTGAGTAGAATTATCTGTTTTTATGTTTAACTTTTTATTAATAAGAAACTGCTGAATATTCCCAAAGTGACTGAACCATTTTTCATTTTCACCAGTAATACATGAGGCCTCCAGCTGCTCCCCATTCTTGGCCAACACTTAGTATTGTGAATTTTTTAAATTAATTATTCTAGAGGATGTAGAGCAGTTCTGTTTGTGGTTTTAATTTGAATTTCCCTAATGACTAATGATGCCAAGCATCCTTTCATGTGCTTATTAACCTTTGTGTATCTTTTCTTGTATAGTATCCATTTGTATCTCTTGAACATTTTAAATGAGCTGTTTTTCTTATTCTTAAATTTTAACAACTCTTTAAATATCCCAGCAAACATTTTCTCCCAATTTGTAGCTTGCCATTTGACTTAATTAACATTATCATTTGAGGAACAAAGCTTTTAACCCTAACGACGTCTAATTTACCAACTTTTAAAAAATAATTTACACTTTATGTATCGTAAAAATCTTTGTTGGACCCAAATTCACAAAGATCTTCATCTATTTCCTTTTAGAATCTTTGGTTCTGCTTAACTCCTTTGTTTAGGACTATGCTTCCCTGGTGGCTTAGAGGGTAAAGTGTCTGCCTGCAATGCAGGAGACTTGGGTTCGATCCCTGGGTCAGGAAGATCCCCTAGAGGAGGAAATGGCAACCCACTCCAGTACTCTTGCCTGGAAAATCCCATGGACGGAGAAGCCTGGTCGGCTACAGTCCATGGGGTCACAAAGAGTTGGACACGACTGAGTGACGACACAAGACACGTCATGATTCACTTAAAACTACTTTCTAAATGTATAGTATGAGGTAAGGATTAATTTGGTATTTCAGTATCTGCTATTTAAAAGACTATCCTTTCCCCATTGAATTACCTTAGTAACTGTCAAAAAACAATTAAGCCTGTATGAGTTTACTTACATTTACACTTTGGAATCTGAATTCTATGCCATTTTCTACTGACTGTTTTTTCCTGACTTTGGGTCATACTATCCTATTTCTTTACATGTCCAGTAATCTGATTAAAAACCATATATAGTATGCCATACACTATGCTGTTTTTGCTGTGTGCTCAGTCACTTAGTAGTGTCCGACTCTTTGCAACCCCATGAATTACAGTCTGCCAGGCTCCTCTGTCCATGAACTCTATTCTAGTCTGCTCTTCTGAAACCTGATGGTTTCCCGTTTTAATATGTGATAAACTTGCCTGGACACAAATTGAAAAATCTATAGACAGCTGAAATTTTTTTTTCTTTTTTTTTTTGTGACTTTGCTGACTAACCATCTGCCCTCCATACTCATCCATAGCCCTGAGTGAGACAGAGGAATCCTGAGGGTGACCATGCATTAGAGGACATTCAGCTCTAGTAACCACTGGAGCTGTCAGCGTTTATTTTTTTCTTGGGGACCAGTGAATAGCAAGTTCAGTGCCTCCAAAGGCCATGCACTGGAGCTGATTTTGACAAGAATCTTACACCAGGGGCATAGGAAAAACTCAACTAGAGTAAGACTAGAGAGGCCTTGAGGCCTCTGCTGGAGCAGGTGAGGCATCAGTGATGGTAGGGATAGGAGGCAGGCCTGAACTGCTATTCCAGTTTAAAGTTTTCCACAGCCACACCTACACAGTGCTGGGTTGCTATTCTATCTTTGCAGGTGGGATCCTGGGAACTATGAAGTAAAACCACATTTGATTCTGGGTTACCTTTATTTGATGCTTTGTAGTGGATTGGCATAGGTTTTGAGCTCCGTCTCTGCTTATGGTCTTTCCCAGCTGTGTACAATTTGTTCCTGGGCTTGTTAGTCTCCCCTGATCAGCAGTGGGTTGCCCAACATCACAAATGTCTTGTCCCATCACTAGGCTGAGCATGGATATCAGCATCCTGTATCAGGTGCTGGGGGCAAACTGAAGTATACTGACTTTCTTTTGGGTTTCTTTCTTTCTTCTGCCTGAATCTCTGGGGGAGTATCTTTTGTGCCAGCATATCTTTGAGATCAGCCAATGATTTCAACAGAGATCAAACATAGACAACTCCAGCCAGTGAAAGTTCTACCCTCTACCACCCAACCTGTATATGTGCTAAAGAATTCATTCAAATTTGCAGCAAATAAGTAAGCCTTCCCAGGCTTTCAATTTTGCTTGTGCTTTCTAGGGCATCCTATGTGCACTAATTGTTTTCACAGTCATCCATGAATGTGTGGAGAGTGTATCATCTCAGCCCTTCTATAGCTCTCTTGCCTCCTAAACCTCCGCCTTAAATTTTTAGCTGCTCTGCTGTTTTTCCAACCAAATCAGCCACCTTCAGTCAGTAAACCTGCGGATTTTTAACATCTACTCTGGGGGTATAGGAACATCTTGAAACAAGAAGCATCTTGCCCAAGGCTGTAGCCATTTTTAACAAGTAAATATTTTCGAGTTCTTTGCCATCTTTGATCATTTTTAAATGTTACAGTTAATAATTTTCCATATTCCAATATTTTCCCAAGTTTCCAATAATAAAACTATTAATAAAGCTTTGTAGTAGTATTTTTTGTAATGAGAATCACCCAACCAACTCAGACAGGCATTCATTAATGTAAGTAGAGTCTTAACCATATTTTAAGCACTTACGACTATGTTGTCAATATCTCACTTATCATTACATGAAATAAAACAATCGCATCAAAAAATAGTCAACCACTGCAGGAAAAAAAATTTCTCATTTGTGAACATTAAATTTCAGATCCAATTTCTAAATAGTTGGTGGAAACAATAAAATATATAATTAAGATAGCCTTGATCTCCTAACCCCATTAAAGTCTTCAAAATAAATATTACCTTTCTGGAAAAGTTTTAAATATAAAGCTTTTTTTAGACAGAAGGATAAATTCAATTTAGACCCACATTTCCTTGGGGAAAAAAAGCATTACTGAGTATACAGTATCTCTCTTCCAATGCAGTGTTCATTTGAATGTTAAGAAAATTACCTTGAAGGCTGCTAAACAATGAAGACTCAGTAAGGCCATCACAACTGCCAGAAGGATGGTAGCTCCGTTCCGTATGTCCCATATGGTCTCTACCAGAGGAATACTGCCGACCTGCCAGTCATAGCACAGGGTAACTGGTGCAAGCAGAAGCCACACGTTGAAGGCCAAGAGGTAGGAATAAGTAAGGAATCTACAAAGAGAAGAAGAATCACTAAAACACAACTCTAGATCCATGACATTCTGAAAACATTCATTGACCATGTTTCTACTGAATAGTCTATGCTAAGAATGTTATAAAAAGAGAAGGTAAGATGGAAGACCATTCATTCATTTAGTCATGAAATTGACCATTCTGGAATACATCTAACAGCTGCTAGTCACTGTGGTAGGTGCTGGCCTTTCACTGATGAAGAATACAGAGTTTTCATGACCTATTTTTAAAAATTATCATATATATACATACATAACAACTGAGATAAATGGTATAAAAGTTTGATGAAAGTATATGACATGAAATGCTGCCTCATTGGGTACAATTCCGTGGGTAAGAGACATTTGGATTGTCTCTTTTTAATAATACCTCAAATCCTGCACTAGACATGAAAATATTAACCATTTAAAATAGAGTGATCCATTTTGAACCATCTCAAAAAATCAAAATATCTCTAGTAGGGAGATAAAGTCTCTCACAAATCAAGGGGCTAACCTTCAAGAGGAGGGACATACAGCTGTCCCTGATAATAAGAATAGCCAGGTGGACCTCAGGAAGGAAAATAATGAATGGAGATATTAGTCCCATTTCCTGACTGTGTCTAGGCAGTAAGGTAAAGCAGAAGGCATCCTAACTGATCCCCTTCCTTTCTGCACAGAGGAAACGGAATTTATTTAAGTTTGTTCAATCTACACAAATCATTAAGTAGTGTTCAAGACCCTTGAGAACTGCAGAACCCCAGCATACAGCAAGCTCCATCCACATCTCTGCACTAAGGGATGACTGAACCCTAGTATGGCTTCCAGCAGCAGAAGACCATGTCTGCAGGATGACCCCAGCCCCTCCATTAAAATGCCAGCCTGAGAAAGACAGATCATCACTGCCTGGAGAATTGACTTCTTTTCTGGCCAAACCATGACAAAAGGCCCCCAACTTCCATTTCCTAGAGTATTTACTGCAAAGCACTTGTAACTGGGGATATGTATCTCCTAAAACTCAGAAGTAGTTCTCAAGGACCTGAGAGTTGTTCCTTTAAAATGTGATCACCAGGAGCATGGGGCCTGGCTTCCAGTCTGCTGGAGGACAGAATCCTAACTGATAAATGCCAGCCAGTAGACACAGCCTGAATGCACTTAGAGGATCAGTTCCAGTTTGCAAACTGCCCCCAGCCCCTGACCATTCTCTCTTTAAAATACTTAGTCACCTCTGAGCAAATCAAGATGGAGCTCAGCTCCTGTTCCCAGGAATTACTAAATAAAGTGTGCTCTTACTGCTCTGACTCATGTCTAGCTGGGTTTATCTTTAAAATTCTATATGGAACTAAACCAAAGAGCTAGATAAATCCCTTGTTCTTAAGGAATGTAAAATCCAATACTGAAAACAAGATATATAGAATTAAAGAGTCATGAGGGCGCAGAATGTGAAGAAAAGACCTCCCACATCACCAGGTCCTTTTAGAGGAAATCTTAGATGGGCCAAATCCAATGCTAAGAGTTAGTTCACCTTAAATTTTCAATTAAGTAGCTCTGGATTAAAATACCCTTCCCAGGCCTTCCCAAAGTATCTCCTTTCCTTCCTTCTTGTTCCAAGGTTGGCAGTGGAAAAATCATTAACAATGATCAGGAGAGGCTCAGCAATAGGGGTTATTCACTGCCTTCACTGTCAAACCCCAGCAGAGAAATGCACTAGATGTTTCAGTGGTGTTTCAAAACTCTCCTCTCTGTTGTTATTTTAAATAAAATATTAATGCACAGACAGTGCAGTATAAGGGACTTCCCTGATGGCTCAATGGTAAAGAACCCACTTGCCAATGCAGGAGACGTGCGTTCGACCCCTGAGTCGGGAAGATCCCCTGGAGAAGGAAATGGCAACTCCAGTATTCTTGCCTGGGAAATTCCATGGAGAGAGGAGCCTGGTGGGTTACAGTCCATGTGGTTTGATGAAGCCCATGCTTTGTTATTTAACAAAAATACAAACAAAAAGTCACCATATCCCATTTAGGTTTGGGCCTATGAGAATGCCAATTCCATAGAAAGATGATTGGGTTACTTAAGGCTTCTTTTCATAGAGATTCTAAGCTGATGTTATTTACTTCTTAGCTCAGTAAAGATTCTTCACGACTTGGCTTTAAAGGAGAATGTTCAACCAGCAAGCTTAGCAGGAAAATTATGCAGCTGTGTCACTCAGTTACATTCCGGCTCTTAAGAAATTATTTTAAAAAACAGTATCCCCTTCTTGATGTAATAGATCTAGGCTATGATTATAAATGACAGCTGAAATTATTAGATGAAAAGTTGATGGGTACTTTATAATGGATGATCCAGCTGTATCAGGTGCCTAAAACTTACTAATCAATCTTAAAATCACAGAAAAGGAAACTAACATCTTGATGTCCTCTTGATGGATTATGTGCATCACCATCTATAATACAGTCTTGCCAAATAAAAAAGAAAATTAAACTTAAATCTAATCAAGCCCTGTATTACTAGTTTATATCAAATACAGAAAACACCAGAACATGTTAAATAATACCACAAGGAAGCAACACACTAAATTCAGAGTGTTACAGAACAAAATATGGCAGTTTCTTCAACAAATACATTGCAGTGGCAAGAAAAAATGGGAGAGGGCAAAAATGAATAAAAAGACTTATGAGACATATCAAACAAAACGCAGATTTTGTTTAACTATGAATTCAAACAAACTGCTCTTAAAAATAACTGCTTATGAGACAGACAAAATTGAAATGCTGATTAAACATGCTAATAGGGAATCATTGTTAATTTGTAAGTGTGGTGACAGTACTATAGTTCTATTCTTTAAAGGTTCTTGTCTTTTAGAAATACACATAAAATATACACATTTAAACGGCATGATGACTGGGATTTGCTTCAAAATTATAGACGAAAACCAGGGGGAAGAACTGGGTGGGAATATGAATGAAATAAAATTAGACATGAACTACTATTGTTGAAACTGGATAGTGGGTACGTACAGGTTCTTTACACTATTTTCTCTCCTTTTGTACTTACTTAATATTTTCATAATAAAAATTAATTTTAAGTAGTGGTAAAGGTAACAGAATTGCCGCAGGAATGCTTTCTTATCTTATATTTGATTGCAACTTGATTATGGAGTAGATGCAAATGCTATGCAGAAACTTTTAATATTCAGGCCACATTTTTCCATTGCCCTGAAAGTTGTGCTCAGTCTCTTATACTTTCTAGATTTGCAATACCATAATGATAAAAAGCAGAAACATTACTTTGCCAACAAAGGTCCATCTGGTCAAGGCTATGGTTTTTCCAGTGGTCATGTATGGATGTGAGAGTTGGACTGTGAAGAAAGCTGAGTGCCGAAGAATTGATGCCTTTGAACTGTGGAGTTGGAGAAGACTCTTGAGAGTCCCTTGGGCTGCAAGGAGATCCAACCAGTCCCCCTTCAGTCCTGGTGTTCATTGCAAGGACTGATGCTGAAGCTGAAACTCCAGTACTTTGGCCACCTCATGCAAAGAGTTGACTCGTTGGAAAAGACCCTGATGCTGGGAGGGATTGGGTGCAGGAGGAGAAGGGGACGACAGATGATGAGATGGCTGGATGGCATCACCGACTCGATGGGCATGAGTTTGAGTAAACTCCAGGAGTTGGTGATGGACAGGGAGGCCTGGCATGCTGCGATTCATGGGGTCGCAAACAGTCGGAGACGACTGAGCGACTAAACTGAACTGAACTGAATGATAAAAAACAAATATAAAGGATAACATTTTTCAAAAGTTACAATTTCAATATAGTTACTTATATATTTTTTAAATGCTCAATTTTGACTTTTTACATGGATTATAACAAAAATAGATCTAAAAATAAAAGCAAACCATGGAACTAAAAAAAACAAACTTCCCTTTCTTATAATACTAGAAACTATTAACTTGACTCAAGACTATTAACTTAACCCTTCTTTATTTTTGTTAGGTATAGCTGGTTTATAATAATATATTAGTTTCAAGTGTACAGCACAGTGATTCCAAATTTTTGTAGATCATACTCCATTTAAAGTTATTATAAAATGTTGGCTATAGTCCCTGTGCTATACAATGTATCCTTGCCACTTATTTATTTTACACATAGTAGTTTGTACCTAATTTTCTACCCTTAAATTGCCCCTCCCCTTCCCTCTTCCTACTGGCAACCATTAGTTTGCTCTCTACGTTTGTGAGTCTGTTTCATTATACTGGTTGTCTTACTTTATTTATTAGGTTTCACATATAAGTGATGACATTCAGTATTTGTTTTCCTTTGTCTGACATTTCACTAAGCATAGTAAGCTCCAGGCACATCTAATCTGTTGTGAATGGCAATTTTGTTCTTTTTTACGACTGAGTAATATTACATTGTAGGTATAGGCATGGGTGTGTGCGTGCTAAGTCACCAGTCGTGTCCAATTCTTTGCAACCCTATGGGCCATAGCCCACCAGGCTCCTCTGTCCATGGGGTTCTCCAAGCAAGAATGCTGGAGTGGGCAACTGTGCCCTCTTCCAGGGGATCTTCCTGACCCAGGGATAGATCTGAGTCTCTCATGTCTCCTGCACTGGCAGGTGGGTTCTTTACCACTAGTGCCACCTGGGAAGCTCTGTATGTATATACCACAGCTTTTTTATTTTTATCTATTCATCTTTTGATATACACTTAAGTGGCAGCCCACTCCAGTACTCTTGCCTAGAAAATCCGATGGATGGAGGAGCCTGGTGCAGGCTAGGGTCCATGGGGGTCGCAAAGAGTTGGACACAACTGAGCGACTTCACTTCATTTCTTCACTTTAGGTAGCATCCATATTTGGGCTATGGAAATAATACTTCTGTGAAGATAGGGGTGCATGTATCTTTTCAACTTAGTGTTTTTGGTTTTTTTTGTTATATATACACAGGAATGGGATTGCCCTTCTTAATAAATAAACATCTCCAGAGACTCTGAGGCATCCACCTA